TTATGTATTCATCTCTCTCTCTCTCTCTCTTTCTTTTTTTTTTTTCTTTTTTTTTTTTGGGAAAAAGGGATAAGATATTGACTGATGCTATAAGCAGCCTCTCTGGAGATAACACTTACATGTTCAAAATACTTTGTATAATTGTAGGCCGCTGACTGATCTAGTATTTTTCTCCTTGGCATCAAAATAGATTAGATGATGGATAGCTTAGGGTGTTGTTCAAGTTTTGGTAGTTCCATATTCCATAATTAGAGGTTCCATAAACCAATGTGAATTATTCCTATGTGATCTTATAAGAAAACCAGTTGAAATGACTTAGAAGGCTCAAAAGGACTTGAAATGACTTGGGAGAACCAGTTGCATTCATATTTGTTGTGCAATAGCAGATGGCCCTTCTTGCATAGTAGATTTAGATCAATGAAATCAGCCTCTCTACACCATAGGGCTATAAAGTTAAGGCTGCGTACATATGATCCTTCTTTACGTTGCTCAAAAGGCGAGACTCTTGAGGCACATTAGAATACTGTTCATGTCGGAGTTCACCAAAAGCTAAGATAAAGCAGCCACTATTGCAGTATGTAAATGCTTGCCTAGATATATCAACAATGCAATTAATAGTGTTTAAGAGTACTGCTGATTTACTTAGATTCACACTTGGTTACTAGATATGTCATTGATTGAATATGTTGCCTGCCTTTTCTGGTTCATTTCACTCTGAAATTGCTTTCTTCAATAGATTTATCTGGTTCATTTAATTCGCTTCTTTGAAAATATTTCCTTCAATTCAATTCAACGTGGGTAACTGTACTTCCTCCAAGAGCTGGGTAGGAACTAGGAAGAAGATAATCCTTAAGGTTCAGCTGATAAATTAGAGTAATAATTCAAAATGCAAATTATTTAATCATGAAAAAGTTGAAATAAAAACAAGAAATGTATGCCATGAACATGGTTGTTTAAGGTTGTAATCGGAGAAGAGAAAAATTACCAGATTAGCGGTGGTAAAGGCGGCAGCAGAGAAGAAAGTGAATTGAGTTTTCAATAAACCAAATAAAAGTTTCAGGCGTCAATTTCTCGAGTCGTGTCTTATACTTTCTCCGCTTATTTTTTGTGCAACGATAATAAGGGATGGACTATGGAGGAAGTATTTCGTACTCCCTTTTAAATTGATTTAGAGTGTATTAAGAAAGTTAAATAAAAAGAAGTAAAAGTATATTTAACAGATAAATTTACATGGGTTTTTTAAAAAAAAAAATTAGATTGAGAAAGTATTAAAAGTAGAATAAAAAACAAAATTTTAGATGAGAACCTAATTTTGCACAAATTGTTGTAAAATTGTTGTGTATTTTAATGCAAATTGAACGATCATTTTGGGACTAAAATTAGACCAAAAGGTCGAACTTTTGGCCAACTTTAGAATCTATCTATAAATATAACTAAAGTAACAACCGCTGACATCATCTTCTATTTAAATTGTACAGATGACAAGTTGTGGTAAAAAAATTTCCTGCCTAAATCAATTGCTGACATCATATTTTTTATTTTTATTTTTACTTATTTTTTGAAACCTTCATATTTTTTACCTTAAATTATATATACGGAGTACATTTTGTTGAAGACAATTATTATAATATGTTATTTCTATTTTATTTAACATTACTATGGATTTATAATTATAAAAAAAATAAAAAAAAAAAAAATTATCTGGATTCCAAATGTAATTACTCTCAGCTTAAGAGTACTCGATATTGTATAATTTGGTTGCATTTTTACTATCTTCAAAAGAATTTAGATCTAAATACCATTGCAATTAATGGTTATCATATGAGGTACATATATAAAACATATTTATTTCAAAGAAATTTTTATGTCGTGTATGGCACGGGGTTAATTTAGTTTATAACTACGGCTATTTCACCAAATGCCACTGAGCAATTTAAAAATTCACCAAATGCCATCGGACTTTTCAGAATTCACCAAATGCCACCCAGTTTTTAAAAAATTCACCCAGTACCATTAATGACCAACGGTAGTTAACTCTGTTAGTAATTAGGGGTTAATCATGACACGTGTAATGATATAATTGGACTATTTATCTTAATTCATAAAAATTAAAAAAAAACAAAAAAATTTAAAAAAAATACAAAAAATTAAAAAAAAAAATCCCCCCAAAATTTTCCCAGCCACCCCCAACACCGTCAAACCCTAGCCCCTCCCCTCATCTCGCCGGAAAACGACCAGTCACCACCGGAACCACCTTCACCACCATTCCCTATCCCTCTCCCCCTCCCTTCACGCAACTCACCTCTCCCCAGTCCCAGAAACCGACTTGCCGGAGTCGGGATCACCCGCTGTCGTCGACCCCCACCCATTGTTACTCTGACCTTCCCTACTTGACGCGCCACCCATCCAATCTAACCTTAACCCGCGAAAACCACAACCAACCTCCACCTTCACGAGCAACGGTTCTGATTCAACCCCTTCCCGACCACCGCAGCCTCGAAACCACCCCCTCCCCTGTTTTCCGGCTCCTATAAACCCCATTCCCTCACCTTAAACCACCAAAAATCGACTTAACCCAGAAAACCTAAAACCCTAGAAAATGGGATTTCTGGGTTGAACCCGAAACCCAAATGGGTTCTGTAGTGGTGGCGGTGAAGTGGCGGTGCATCGGGGTTGAGGATTTAGATCAATTGGTGCGCGTGGGAGCAGCGAAGGGAGCTGGGTGGTGCTAATCGTGGCTGATGTGGTGGTGCGTGTGGTTGTAGCAAAGGGGGCAGTGTGGTGCTTGGAGGTGGAGTTGCTGTGGTGGCAGTGAGGGAGCAGGGTTTTTGGGGTCGGGACGAGCAGCGTGGGTGGTTTTGGGGGTCAGCGGTAGGTCAGGTGGGGAGCTACATGGTCGGCCGGCCGATTGTTGGTGGTTCCGATGGTGACCGACCGTTTTCCGGCGAGTTGAGGGAAGGGGTTAGGGTTTGGCGGTGGTCGGGGTTGCTGGGAAAATTTTGGGGTTTTTTTTTTTTTAATTTTTTGTATTTTTTTTAACTTTTTTTGTTTTTTTTTTTTAATTTTTATGAATTAAAATAAATAGTCCAATTATATTACTAACGGAGTTAACGGTCGTTGGTCATTAATGGCACTGGGTGAATTTTTTAAAAATTGAATGGCATTTGGTGAATTCTGAAAAGTCCGATGGCATTTGGTGAATTTTTAAATTGCTCAGTGGCATTTGGTGAAATTTCCGTTATAACTATAGATCACCGTGCATGGCACGAGATCTAATTAACCTAGTATGGAATATAATAAAGAGTCGCGTAGCTAAGATTTGAGACTAGAGGGAAAATGAGTGCATCTCAACACATAACTGCTATGTATTTACAAAGCATATAGGATGGCAAAAATGTAAATTTGGCAAGCTTTTGGAAAAAAGCTGACTCTACATTGATACTCCCTCCGTTTTTAAATACTTGCTCCATTTCTCTTGGACACGCATGCCGATGCTAATCTTTGATCACTAATATCTTTAATTATCAATAGGTATAAATTTTAACAGTTGAAAATTAATAATTTATTCATTGAGATGATTCCAACAAGTACCCACACGACTATATTTTTTCTTATGTATAAATCACAAACATTAGTCAAAGTAGGATAAATGAATAGTGCAAAAAATAGAAATGGAGCAAGTATTTAAAAACGGAGGAAGTACATTATAATGTACTATTATGCGTGTATAATGTACCATTAAAATATAAGTTGTCTTAATAATATTTTTTGTGTATTATTATGCATGTAGTGGTACTTTTTACCATCCTATAGTTTGAATATTTTCGCCTAAAATATTTACCACATGTCACCTATTATGCATGTGTAGTGATACATTTTTCCATCCTATATATTTGCTAACAAATAGGAGTTATGCGCTAAGGGTTAGCCGGGAATATGTAAGAGGATTCTCACTATTAAACATCCTCAATTGGCAAGATTCAAGCCTCAAATCCTCTAGGATATGAGAAAATAAGTCTTACCAAGTGAGTCAAATTTTTGCTTAGGGTGAAAACTAAAGACAAAGTTGTACAAGACATGAATTGTTACATTAAAAAAAATGAAAGAGAAAATAGTATATAGTGATTACAAGTGTTAGAGAGGAGAAATCACGTCAAGGGGTAGGGTTTTCAAAAGTCGATCCAAACCAAAGAATAAACTGAACTAAAGAGGAACGGTTAATTCTAGGGGTGTCTATTCGGTTTTCGGTTTGAATTTAGGCCAAATCCAATCCGATCCTAAATAAAATTTGGTTTTGATTTTCAAATCTAATCTGATCCGAATTTCTCATGAATCCAATCCAATATATCCAATCCGAATTAAAATTCGGTTATTTTGATTCAATCCAAAAATCCGAGTTAAAATACATTGTAAATTTTTAGGGACTAAAGTGATTATAAAAATAAAAATGTAATTATAAAAAGCTTAGTCTTAAATACATAGTTGTACAAGATTAATACAAATATTAAAAACATAATTTTACATTATTTATATAAATGTAATTATCAACATAATTTTACATGATTAATATAAAGTATCCTTATTTGTAAAAGCATGATTTCATATTTTGGATAATTTGGTTTTTTTTAATCTAAACAAAGTCAATCCGATTCGAAAATCCGAATTTTCAAAATATTTTAATCCGATCCGATTTAAAGTTTGGATTTGATTGGATTTCGGTTTTTATATTATCCGAATTACCTATCACAAGCCCTCAGTCATCATAATCACTAGATCAATATCTCATTGGTATCGAAATCGATTTGTAGTTCATAATAAAACAAATTAAATGTTTACTTGTCTCCCCAAATATGATGAGGAGATTACTATTTTATGAGATACTTCATTTATTTTTATTTAGAGGAAACACTTATAAAGTTAGTCAAATATTAGTTGCGCAATTTATTTATTTATTAAACGTAATGCAAAAGTCAAACTATTGTGATCTAATCGATCAAAATAAATATATAGGTGGTACAAAATTTAAGTTGTTGCGATTGTGATTATTGTCAATTCAAATTAAATATGGTTTTAACTAAGAGCAAGCTGCAAGTGCGTAATGCTCTTCCTAAATAATAGTCAATCAAAACAAAAAGAACATAAATTAAAAGAATATACAACATTACACATAACACATTATAAAAAAAAAATATACATTTAGCTCGATATAAAAATAACACGGAATAAGGTTGCGCACACGTGCTAATTAACAATCGTAACATTTAACAATTGGACATTGTTACAACAAAATCGTTTCAAAACCTTGAATGTAAGAAGAAACTTTGGCCCATACTAAATTTGCCAGTTTGAAGAGATTGAGGAGGAAGAAGAGCAAGTTGAGCTCCAATATTAGCAGCAATATCAGCAGTACGACTTCCTTTACCACCAGTCATACCAGTTTGAGTAAAACCAGGGCAAAAACAATTTACACTTATATTTGAATCTCTTAATCTTCTTGCTAATATCCTTGAGTACGCGTTTAATGCTAGTTTCGACACAGCATAATCTGTCCATTCTTTTGGCCATCCTTCGTTTTCCCATTTCCCTTCTTTTACTTGCTCTAAAAACAATTTTATTACTCCATCAATTTTCTCCTCGCTTAGATTTTCCTCATCTTCGAGTATTGCTCTTATGTTCTTGTTTTTAACAGTCTGCTTTTCAAAAAAACATAAATTGATTAAGGGAGATGAATAGATGTGTGATCAGAGTATTGAGTTATGATTTCTAGTTCCCGAAAGTTCTTTACACTTACAATTTGCATCAACTTCAATATAAGACGGAGTATTTGAGTGTTACTCTAATATATTTCGTCTCTTAACCCAATTGGCCCTAAGCTATAATCAACTTTAGAATGTACTTGACCATATTCTTCCTCAAATTTTAAGTTGGAATGTTTCAACTTTTATATTACTAGGGCGGTTAACATATGCGATACACACGCTTTAACTAGCCATACCTGAGAACTGTTTTGGTTTGGAGACTTTGGACTTATGGCATGTCAGCAATCAGCATTAATATGGGAAAATACGTAAATATTTATTTTATGCTTAAAAGTTATATAATGACAACTATGAAAAATAAAGAGAAATTTATGAAAAAAATGACCTTTTAAGAGAGCAATTTTGTGAGAAAGGACCTTGTAAGATAAAAGTTGTGAGAAAGGACTTTATAAGTTGTGTGAGGTTGTGAAGAGGGACATTAGTTGGTTTTCCGGCTATTCAACGCCTAATTCTAGCAATATCTTTCACGTGCCTAGCATATGACACTGAAAAAGACATCAAATCACTATTTTTCCAATGTTTCCCCTCATGCCTAGCACGGGATTGTTTGAAATGAAGGAAAATATGGGGGAAAAAGTATGAAAGGGTCTTTTTTTAAGTGTCATGTGCTAAGAACATGATAGTCAATGTCGGAGCTACGCGTTGACTAGCTGGAAAACCAACCAAAATTCTTCTTCACAACCTCACACAATTTATAAGGTTTTTTCTCACAAATTTTGTCTTAAAGGTCCTTATTCACCTAAGTCGACCTCTTAAAAGGTCGTTCACTCCTTCCTCACAAATTTTCCAAAATAGAAACGTTCTGATTAAAGATTAACGGAGGTAGTTAGTCATGCTTTGCAATAAGTTTAGAGAATCAAATAAATATTCAAAAACAGTAGAAAAGTTAATGATAACTTACATGAATTAGGCCAAGCCTTGAACTGAAGTTGAGAATGCGGCTTTTATGGGTTGATGAGCATCGGAAGAATGGCAATAAAGCCTCTATCAACAACTTTGGACCATAAAAGTTTGTCTTGATCACTATTTCCGCATGTTTTACTGAGTTTTCATATAGCCCATTAAATGACACCGCAGCATTATTCACCTGAAATTAACAATTTTGTTTTTACTTTATGGTTTGAGAAAGCTTTCAACTATACTAATTGATTCTTGGATTGAAGCTGCAGTTGGTAGAAAAGTGTGCATGTTTGATCCCTAACAATAACAATTGAAAAGGGGATTGAAACCTAATCACTCAAAACTGAGTCTAAAATCCGAATTAGTATAAAGGGTGAGCCGGACAAAAATACCAAAAAAAAAAAAAAAAAAAAACAATCAATTAGAGCTTGGTTGGCATCAGTTTTGGTTTTCATTTTCCTGTTTTTTTGAAAACCAAAAACAGGAAACAAAAAAAGGTGTTTCCACATTTCTGTTGTCAGTTTTCAAAATTATCATGATTTTAACAAGTTTAAATATTTATTGATTCATTGTGGGGCATATATCATATACTTTTAAAAAACAAAAAACCAAAAAACAGAAAACCACAGTAATGCCAAACAAACCCTTAAATAATGTTTTTTTTTTTTTATTTTCGTTTTGTTAAATAGCAACGAATTAGATTAAGTAATTTAGGGTCGCAAGTCCTTTCTCTCCTAATTTGTGAACCATTTGTATGTCACTTTTTTTTTTTTTTTTATTGGTTTCTTGACACAAACTTTGTTTTATTTGAGGGACATCCAATCAACCTCTAATCAATCAATTGAGTTACAATATTTTTGTAAATTATCCTTCTTTTTCCGATTTATGCGCCATGCGCATGGTGCACCCGGTTAAACAAAAAAAGGTATAAACAACACTCAAGTATTTGAAAAGGAACAAGCATTACTGAAGAACATAAATACATTACAAAAAGAATGTGAAAAAAAAATTTATGAAAATTTTTATGAAAAATTACACATTAACGGAAAAAATCTTTACCAAAGATATCATTTTCCCAAAAATAGTTTTCTATCTCTCCAAAATTTCGACTTTCCATAATAATTTTAGTTTTCTCTCTCTAAAATTATTTTCAATTAAAAATAATTTAAGAATTCATTTTCAAATTAAATTTCAAAATTCAACATAACATATGTTAAAATTACATAAGTTATTATGTAGAAAACATATAATTCATACCCAAAGAACACACTAATCAAACTCAATGAACATACGATAATTAAATTTTTTTAATTATAATATATGATAATAAAAAAAAAAAAATAGAATTTGTACATCACTCATTACCTCAAAAAACATTCGAGCCAAATTCAAAGAATATACTTTGTATTATTAAAACAAAAAAACAAAGTTTAATCAACATATATTAAATAACATATTTTCAAACATTTATAAGTAGGTTCTTTGTCAAACATAAGTATGTTATTTGTCAAACACGATATGATCTTTATCAAACAACGATATATTCTTTCCGCCTTGCGGGTGCACCATGCGCATGGTGCACCCGGGTCTACTATCTTTACTTTCATAATTTATCAGATTATGTAATTCAAACTAATTAACCAATTTCTCTGGTCTTGTTAGTTGATAGTTTGTAGCTTCAAATTTAAAATAACAACCAATTACATGAGTAATAAGATACGGAGTAGTATATCTGCCTTCAAAATAAATAAATAAATAAATAAATAAATAAAAAATAATAATAGTATATCTCATGCTAAATGGAGCCCCCAACTTTTGCCAAAAGTAGTACGTACGAATGCACAAATGCGCACTTGCGCCGCATAATGGGGGCGCACTAATTTAGGAAGCAAGTCATGTTAGGTAGTTGTCAGCAGGCAACCCCAACTTTCTTTGCTAAGGCTTAAATGAAGCACTTAAGCACTTTGCATTGTCTTGTATACTTGTATGGCAGGGAGCCGGGATTATTAACCTTCTTTTTTTGGCAACAACATTTGCTAACCCGTTTTGCAACAGTTGGATTTTGATGAATAGACTAGGCGTGAGTATGGGACGGGTACCCGTATCACTGAAACATGATATCCATAAACCGAACCGATAACTTCGGGTATCCGGACTTCGGGTTCCAATAAGGTATCCAATAATGATAATTAAACTTAATAATTTAGTTATTATGATATCTTTTAATACTAATTAACAACAATACCACATGATCTTGACCAAATTATTAATAATATTACTAATCATCGATATTATAAGGTGATTATGAAGTAAAGTAAGAGTTTAGATTTTGAAAAAATAGATTTAAGTAGGAAAAAAAGAACAAAAAATTGCTTATCGGATCGGATCGGGTAATCGTTAATTTTAAAAGGATGCCCGATAATCACCCGATAACAAATTAAATTATCGGAACGGGTGCCCGAACCGTTATGGTTATCGGATCAGGTACCTTAATTTTCAAAACGGTTACGCAACGGGTTTTCGATTTTTCGAGTAGTTTTGCTCAGCCCTAGAATAGACCGGGGGGGATTTTGTATGAGGCGGGCTCATAACATGCAACACACAAATATTGCAACACTCCAGTGTAATCATGGGATTCAATTAGGGATGCCTTTAATTAATTCCGGGCCATGCGAAGGTGTTCAAGAATTAAAAGTAGAAAAGGAGTATCTATATAATGCTGAAATACATGTATTATAAATGTTTTCGCCGCTTTTATAAAAATTATAACACTTTAATTTTTATATCATTAAAATGTATGCTAGGTTTAACATATAAAAAGTTAATTACCCGAGTAATATTGTTAACGCATACCATCAAACTATCAATTTTTAAAAAATGAAAATTAGTAATAAAAATTTTAAAATGATATATAAGCAAAATGGCTCACCTAAACTACTCCAATTTTCCAATTCTTTTTTTTTTTTTTTTTGGAAACGTTTTTTCATGAAATATTCAGATAATCACATAAAGGTACTCCGTAACATTAGTGAAGTCATCATCAAAATATTCACCCATTGACCCACCAACTTTATGTGTGTAGCGGCGGCACAATATTGAAATATAAATGTTTGATATTATAAAAATATACATTGAAAAGAATATAGTAAGAATTTGCATAAGCATACATTTTCTTTCTTATGTATGTGTTAATGTGTTATGTGTACATAACAAAAGACGAGCAAATGAGAATATGTTGATGGTGGCATAGTGCCAAATGCCAATAATCAAAACTTGTTAGTTAATAAAACGAAATCGTGTAGATTTTGTTGAAAAGCTAGTCTTTTATAGCAATTTCTAAACATAATCAATATTTAGCCGTATTAACTATCTTATGGCCATAAAAATCCAAATTAAACCTGGCTTTCAAGAATACAATGCTAGCAATTCATATTAACTACTACGAAAAAAAAAAAAAAAAAAAAAGACTCCAATGTATAAGCAATTGTTATTGCATTAATTCGTGAATCATAAAATAGATTATACTACTCCGTAACTAGTAACTAGTGTCGTATACATTGTTAGTCAACCATAACATGAAACAAGTTTGTTTGCATTTTTAGTCAAGAATAACATGAAATGAAGATTATTGTTTGTATGCATTTTTAGTCAACATATATAACATGAAATGAAGATTTTATTGTTTGTATGCATTTTTAGTCAACATATATAACATGAAACAAATATTAGTGTGAGAATGGGTACACTTAACATATCGACATTTTAAAAAACGCTAATATATAGGTATAGATTTTGCAACCAAAATAAATTAGCACATAATATTATTTGCTAGGAATAATGTTTGGTTATATATTTTTGTTGAAATAAAATGGCATGCACCATTCATATACATTCACACAATCACGGAAGTATCCTCTCTCTTATTCACACTCCATTATTATTATTAAGAAATTTTGCATGAAACCACTTTTTTATTTTTTTTTATTTTTTTTTTTGGTGCATATAACCACCTTTGAAAAAAAAAAAAAAATTACAAAAAACCACCAATTTTAAAAATTTTGTTGCAACTTATCACCAGTTCAACACTTCAATGTAGAATAGTTAATAAATTTGGTTAAAAAAAGTGGTAATTTGCAATATAAAATTTTAAAATTGGCAGTCTTTTACAACATTATTTAAAAAGGTGGTTATGTACAAAAATAAATAAATAAATAAATAAATTAAAAGGTGATTTTATGCAAAATTATGAAGTATTATTAACATTATCAATTATTATAGTTCAACGAAAATTGACTATAACGTTCTTAGCAATCTTCTTAATTTGATACTAAGAAAAAATTTACTCATGACTTAAGTATATATAGAAACATTAAAATAAAATAAGATAGGATAGGATAAGATAATGCGCAAACTTACAAGAATGTCAAAAACGCCAAAGTTATGGTTGAACCAAGTAGCAAAAGCAGAAATAGAATGAGGATCAGAGACATCAAGAACAGAGAAATGAATAAAATCACCAAGTCCTTCATTCCTTAGCAATTCCAAAGCTTCTTTGCCTTTTTTTGCATCTCTTGCTGTTAATATTACTGTCACTCCTAATTCTGCTAATCTCTTAACAATTGCTAATCCAATTCCTCTGTTTCCTCCTGTTACTATAGCTCTTGTCTCTTTTCCCCACCATCTACATCGTCGTAGAATCAATCGTTGTAATTAGATCGAGATTTTTTTTTATCACGAATACATATTTGCTTCATTTTTTTTAGGCGTACCATATTGACTTATGATATAATTCACTTATTTAATTAACTATGTAATGTGTGTCTTGCTAGATTCGTCTCAGGTATAGTTTTAAAATGTTAAGTTTTTATACTTTTACTTAGAGACATTCATTGACAACAAATTTTTTAAAAAAGAAAGAAAGAAAAATAGAGGATAACCTTATGTACAATTACTTAGCCAAAAAATAAAAAAAAGACTTACATTTTGCCTCAAATACTAACCAATTAATGTCATGCCATAAACATACTAATATACATAAGATTGATAAATATGTTTATTATAATGCAGGAAACTAAAATATACTTCGTATACGTTAACCAATTACCATTTGAAAAAATAATATTGTAAACCTAGTCCGCACAAGATAGTTAATATTTCATAATGGTCATTTTTCGCAAACTAATAAGCGATTTAGTATAGAAGTTACCTGGTGGAAGAAGAGGGATCTTGTCTAAGCTCCATATTTGTAATCAAGGAATTGAAGATAATTAGATATGATGATTGGGGTTAACTAAGAAAGCAGTGGTGTAAGAAACTATGAAGAAATGTGGAAAAGCAATGAACAATAAGAAGATGCTATATAAGCATTTATAGAACAATATATAATCAGAAAATAAAATAAAAAAATAAAAAATAAATAAAAAAAAAAAAGATACTTGTATATAATAAGATAGGGTGCATACTCCATGCACTAGCAATTTAAGATTATTGATGATTGTACCAGATCAGGACCAGCTTTTTTGGAGTGTATAAAAATAAAGTATTGTGTTGTACAGTTTATATGTGAGATTATGCACATGACTTTGAAAAATTCACACCTTACATTTTTTTAATTAAAATAATTATTCTCACATTACATAGTCTGATTGTTGTAGTCTATTATCACGATGATAGTGTAATTTGAATTGTTCGTCTTATAACATAATAATTGACTTCGGTTTTGATTTTATTTATTTATTTTTTCTAATATGTAGATTTTGTATAAACATGTAGATAACTACAAAAGTTGATGGTTGAATCTCAAAGTCAATATGTATGATTTTTTTTTTTTGAAGCAAAATATGTATGTTATTTCACGCTCCCTCACATGAGAGTTTTTTTAGCTTGAAATAGGGTTACAATACGAGTCTCTTCATATCCACGCAAAATATTTCACTTTACAATGAGGGGTGGATGAGGTTCAAACCCATAACCTTCTTGTCACACCGAATCTTAATACCATGTAAAGGACTAATTCAATCAAATTCTTATTAAAATAGTAATTTCCAATACTATTGGGTCTAAGCAAGTTGACAATTTATTTTTATCAAAAATTATGATCTTTATAATTTCTGATAAAATAGAAATTACTTAAAATCAACATTATCACTGCTGGATCAGTGGATCTTCTGTCGTTTGATATGTAGTTTAAGTCAACAATTTTTTCATATCAATTTAAAAATGCATTCATACTAGCTAGCAAAGTAAGTAGGGATCTGTCTTGATTGTGAATTTATATTTGCCAATTGGGCACCTCCCTTATAAAAAAAATAATAGAATAAATTAAAAAATTGCCAATTGATCACTCCACGAGTCCACGGTATATAGTCTAATTTAATAGGTGTCAGTGTGTCACATTAGAGTTTTAAAAATTTAATCCACCTTAAAGCCGATATGATAAAAAACTGACATAAAAATAATGAATTTTAGACCGAATTTTGTGACCTAAACCTGAGAAGTGTGTTTAAAAACCATTACATTGATACTCATCTTAATAAAATGATTATGAAAACTATTTTGTAAGAAAAATAGCTTCAACTTTGAGAATATAGTTGGTTTTACTAATAATGGTTGAATTTTATTTAACACATGATTTATACACACATGTTAATTCTAATGTAATGCTATTGTTTGAAGTACTCCTTTCGTCCGATTTTATCATCATACTTTTATTTTACGTTCAGTTTTCCTAATTTGATCATTACACTTCTTTTTATTGTACGAATTAATGAATATTGTATAATCTCATTTCATACAACCAGGTCTCACAATTTCCGAACGATTTCCCATAATATTGTTGAAATAAAAATCAATTCCCATAATACATTGATTTTAAAATAAATTCCCTACATAGTGTCCACGTAGGATCGTTTTTTTTGCTTTTGGTTCAACTTAAAACCGCTAATGGTAATAGCGGTTTTAAAAAAGAGACCGCCTCTAACAATAACAGGTCTCTTTGCGTCCTTGGTTAATTCACAAGGCTTAGTTTGCAAGAAGATTATTTCAAAGAGACCGCCTCTCAATACGACAGGTCTCTTTGCTTCCTTGTTAATTCTTAGCCCACAACAAGAAAAGAGAGCGCTGACAATTACAGATAACTTCAAAGAGACCGCCTTTCAATAAAAACAGGTCTCTTTGATTTTATTTTACCAAAATTGCAAAACCGCTAATACCGTTAGCGGTTTTAAGCTGAACCGAAAACCAATCCTACGTGGACACTACTTTGGGAATTTATTTTTAAAACGAAGCATAATGGGAATTAATTTCTATTTCAATAATATTAAGGGAAATCGTTCCAAAATTTCCCTCATTCAATGAAAATATTCATTACTTTTTTATTTAAATATTAAAATTTTTTTGTATACCCCCGGTTTACACTAATATTAGTGTTCATCGAGCAGTATAAGGATAGCTTTTAGCTAATTTAAGGGTAACTTTTTGTCTTTTTTTGGCTAACTTTAAACATAATACAATTTTTATATAAATAAACAACAAAAAAAAGTTTTATAAAGGTAATTTAATTACATTCAATCACCAATAGTTGGTTTTTAGTCATATAAAATGCGATTATTTACTAATAAAGCGTAGATAATTTTTATTTATATTGGGTTACTTTTATGCATATTGGGGTAACTTTATTCATTTTAAGGGTAACTTTTGATCAATTTAGGCTATCTTTATAATAGATGTACATTGGCTTATCAAATTCTCTATCGAGCCGTGAAAAAGATTCAACAAAAGAAAGTTTGTGTTAAATATTCATCCCTTTTCGGATAAAATTGTAACACTTTTGACATTTTCATTGTCCACATTACTACTCCTCTACTTAATCCCCATTGTTTTGAAAAAAAAATACAAATCGTTTTCAGACTAAGAAATGAAAAATATGGACCATTTTTGTAAGCTACTTTTATGTATGTTAGGTTAGAAATTCGGAAATTAGGGGTCAAATACATAGTATTTTCCGGTGATTATGTTATAAAAATCAACTTGACGTTGACATTAACCAATTATGGATCCCTTTGACTTGGTAATTAAGATAAGACGTCTACTAAATGATTTTATACTCAATTCTTAAAAAATTAATTCGAAGTTCATATTTGTACGTCATTTATTTTGCTTGTCAAATTTATTTAAATTAAATTAAATTAGCTTATATGATCATTAATCACATGTGATTGAATTAAAATGTTGGACAAATGGATTAAATTAGATTGTTTTTAATTAGCATGATTGGCTTATTTTTTAGGGCCTGTTCACATTTACTGAGCTGAACTGAACTGAACTGAACTGATTGGAGCTGAACTGAACTGAACTGAACTAATTGGAACTGAACTGAACTGAACTGAATTGAGCTGAAATGAATATTTTATGAGAGAGGGAAATTAAGAGCTGAACTGAACTGAACTGATTGGAGCTGAACTGAGCTGAACTGAACTGAACTGATTGGAGCTGAACTGAACTGAACTGAACTGAAATTAAGTAAATGTGAACAGACCCTTAGTCTGCCGTTTTCTTGCTCCTTATGTAATGCATGATTTTCCGATGCCTGGAGGTGAGCCTGAGTGGCATGGAAATCTGCACTATGTGATCTATTAGTCAATGGAAGCATCTATTCTCACTTCATTTTTATTGAATAATAAAAAATCATACACATATACTATAATTATAATTAAAACAAAGTTAAATATTAGATGAGGTAAGAAATAATGCTCAAGATTTTTTTTTTTTTTATAAAAAAATATTGTTTTAAATTTTTATCGAATTTTAGGGCATGTTCTCATAGACTGAACTCAGCTAAACTGAACTGAACTAAATTGAACTGAACTGAACTAAATTGAGTTGAACTGAACTGAACTGAAATGAATATTTTATAAGAGAAGGAAATTAGGAGCTGAACTGAACTGAAGTGAACTGAATTTCAACGTAAGAGAACAGACCCTTAATAGTAACTAGACTATTAGTCTACTTGGAGATTAAAATGTTATAGTTTTCACACTTACTTGCATGATACATGCGGGCTATGCAATACGTCATGCATGTTTCTAAAAAAAATTCATTCTACACATCTTTTAATTAAAGAGAAATCATTAACGTTAACTCTTGGCAAAAGTTCAAAAAGTAAGGACCTGTTTTTTACGGTTGCTCTGTTTTGCTAAAATCAACTATGTCCTGTTCTGCTCTGTTGTATTGAGCCGTAATTTGCTGACTCAATCTGCTCTGATATCTACTTTGTTATGCTGAAATCTACTCTGTTCTGTTTTGCTGAGTCTTATTCTACTTTTTTTTTTTTTTTTTTTTTTTGACAAGAGTCTTATTCTACTTAAATCTATTCAAGTCTGTTAAAATTTGTAATGCTCTGCTCAAAAACTCAAAAGAACAAGGTCTAACTCTTTCATTTGGATGATAAAGGAGTACGAATTGTTTAATATTAAACCTATAAAGAACGAAGGGGTGTTACAATAGAAGGTATTAAGCCATTAAATCTATTCTAAATTTTAAGTGAGAAATCAAACAGACAAAAGATCAAAAGAGTCTACCTACAATTAAAAATTCTTAATTTTGGGACAAAGAAAAATAAAGCATGCCGTCCTATATATATATAATACCATGCTTAGCTAGTAGGAACTATTTATTAATTGGATAGCCTAATCAAATATGGCTTCCATGTGCATCTAACACACGAGTGGTTGTTGACTAGTTGACTAATTGTGCTATTTTTTTTTTCTTTAAGAGTTAACCATTGATTTAAATTAATTAAAACATGTATAGTATATACTTAAAGATATTGATTATATGTTAAGACTTACGAAGCAGTTGTTAGGAAATAATCAACCCTTTGTGTTGCTTTTTGGTAGGTTAGAGGTCAAAGGTTAAAGAATTTCTAACGATATTTAAATTTTTGGATACAAAATGTCACAAGGGGGAGTACAACGTGGATATAGAAAAGTTGATTGAAATATATAAATATAACAATTTTAAAGGGTAGTGGAAATAAAGTAGATAGTCGCGCATATAGTTATTTTGATTAAGGCTTGTATTTCGATGTTTAATCAAGCAGAAAATCACAAAGTTAACAATCATAACTTGTAATCGAGATCTCTAAGAGCTTTGGTTGGTTGAAACTCTTAACGTTGAGCTCACACTTAGTTTCATTTTATATATTATCTCGTGATTATTAAAATGTATAGAAGGAGAACACATGTTAGGTAGAGTTAGAGAGATTGAATAGAAAGATGAATATTTTATTATGTTATTGATTCACATGGTAAGAATTATGACCTCTCGTACATTAATTGGAATCATACTTTTTTGGTGATGGCTAGTGGTTCATTTTCCTCCCATATTTGCATGATAAAGTATTTTTAGTGATGATTGCTTACACACAGTGCAACAAATAAAGCACTTGTATCTTGTATGGACCACTAAGCTAGTTGTGTGTTCCTCACTTAATTTCTTCTATTTTATTAGAATTATACTTGGTGGTAGTTAGTAATTATTGACTAATTGCATATTAATTATGTGACAAAGTAAGTATTAGAACATGTTGGCCATACACCAACAAAGCATGTTTACTTGTTAGTGTTGCTACTATGTACTCATTGGAAGACTTAATGCGGAGTACCAAACAGATTAAAAGGTGGCGTTGGGCCACCCAAGCATGACATGACACGACTCATACCACAAGACCTCTGTTGATTAGCCATGAGTTGTGCTTGGTGCTTGGCCTTGTTTTGTATAAACCTTATGGCTGAACCTCAAACAGGATGGGGAACCCGCTAGCCAACATGACCAACCCATGTCTATGATCAGAAGATGCATAAGGTGGCATGGAGGAGGTTTGATAGGCTGCTAAAAGGTAGCAGTCTGCTAGGCCGTGCTGGCGTGGCATAACTTCCACTGTCAACCAAATTCGGTATAAAAAGCTATCAAATGCAAGAACAATTGAACAAGCAAGACCGAGAACTATAGCAATTTTCTTCAAAAGAATAAATAAGTTAAGCAAAAACAATGAAGCCAGGAAAAAGGACGGTATAAAGGGCAACCAGTTTAAGGAGGCAAAATAAGAGGGAAAAAAATTGTTGGCTTTTGAAATTAAACCATCATCTGCTGTTCTGATTTACATACTTTTATTACTCATTTTATGTCAACTAATAATAAGAGAAAACACAAACCATTCTGGGTTCCAAATATACCCAATTGGATCAAAAGAATGCAACAAGCAAGCACGAGGCTAGAACCTGGAAATTAAGCGAACATTCTAACAATAGGCTGCAATTTCAATTTAGAAATGACTCCTCATTATTCTGGCTTCATGTTTTCACACTCTTCACGAATAGACTGGAACAAAATGGATGACAGATATCGCTCACCAAAACTTGGAAACACAACCTGGAACAGCAGAAATATTGACCGAGTTATGGATGATGTGTCAAGTACAGGTGAGACAAGTTTTTAAATTATCATGAACCCATCTATCACAGTAATAAATTGGTAGTAGTAAATAATGTGGTATGTATATGATCTTGATTAATGATGCCGCATTGCTATCACAAGGGAGGGAAGCAATTGCTCAAAATTAATGAGAAAGGCATATTTATGGGCTCTGAGGCATCAGATACAGAGCCAAATGCAAACATCTTAGACTGTCTATATCCCAAATCTTGATAAAGGTTGTTTTTTCAGACAGGATGTGGGCATTAAGGCTATGTACACTTGAACTAATTTCACGAATTGATAGTGTTTTTTCATATTTTATAGAATTAAAACAAATGCTCTGTAAGTTTTTTAACAAGATCCCAATTGATAGTGTTTTTTCATATTTTATACACATACAAATAAATTCACAGCAGAAAAATTAGGATCACAGGAGACCTCAAGAAATTCGGACCTAATACTTAATTATAGGTGATGAGAACACAGCCTAAGATGGCTGGCCAATTAAGTACACTACCATGTGCACATATCCTCGATTCCTCATAAACAACCTAGTCTATAAGTAGAGTCATAGAAAACTATGCAAGAAGTATTTGTTTCATCTAAGAGGTAAGTAATGCTTAGGAAACCTATAGCAAGCAACAGATTGCTCATCATGACTCCAGTTCACCTAGGAGAAGTTATCCCAATTTTTTTTACTACAAAGTAATCTTTTGAAACCTATAACAGGCAATAGATTGTTCATCATCATTCTTCAGTTCACCTATGAAAAGTTATCCCAATTCCCGTCTACAAGGTGATTTAACAATCCTGAGCACTAAAATTCTTCATTGAAGTTGGTGTGAAAATTTGACCCCTGTTCTGATTAAGGCCCTGCACATCAACCCTTTTTTTTTTCTAAAGGTTTTGATGGTTACTACAACCCTAGCTTTACTTTTTTTAAGTTGAGAAATGTACAAACAAGTTCAGATATGTTGGAAAGAATTCAGGAAATTATTACAGAACAGACCCTAAAAGACTAGCAAATAGTTGAAGTTATGGGTCACTAAGATGCTAGAATGGACACTAAGCTTCAAACAATGAACAAAATAAAAATAACAAGAAAAAAAAAAAAAAAAAAAAGTAGATTTATAAGAAGTAAACCTAACAATCAAAATGCAAGCCTAACTAGAAATGACTCTTGAGAGGTTCTAATGTAGCTTTCTCAATTCAAAGGAAATAAAGGAATACTCTACCACCCAATCAAGATGCAAAGGGAAGCAAGCATGTGAAACAGAGAGTGATTAAATTTTAAATCTAAGAATAAAATTTAAGTGTGTAAATTAAGAGAGTGATAAGTGAAGGTCTTACAGCTATAAGTTTTCCTGCATTTTCAGGTCTTTTACCAACCTTGACTGCAGCAGCTGCTGCCGCTCCAGAGGAAATGCCAACCTGGAGCCAGAAAAGATTAATCAGAAATTCAATCTAGTAAATAGCAATCAGCATAATACCCTCCACAATGTAATTAGATCTACAGAACAAATAAGTAGTGCTGCTTCAAAAGTTGCCAAATAATATGCTTCATACATAATTCTACAGTAGATGGTGCTTAATGCAAACCTCTACAGAAACTTTTTTTTTAGAAAGAACCTCTACAGCAACTTATTAATTATTAACTTTTTGACAATGAGAAAATATGATATATTTATCAGCTGCAAAACATATTAAGAAAATAAACTAAAAGTTAAAAAGATTGGATATAGTAACAAGTAGTCATAATATATTGAGTACTTCCCCACAAATTAGGTTGCTTTAAACTAAGGCCACGCTTCATGATCTGATCTGATATCATAATTCAACAAAACTTCGACCATATTTGTCCACTAACCCGTAAGGAACAAAAAAATAATCAAATGAGAAGTCATAAGATATGTATTAATAAGTACGTCCCAAATATTAATTATACATTGAGTACTTCCCCACAAATTAGGTTGCTTTAAACTAAGGCTACGCTTCATGATCTGATCTGATATCATAATTCAACAAACTTCGACCTTATTTGTCCACTAACCCTCAAGGAACAAAAAAATAATCAAAAGAGAAGTCATAAGATATGTATTAATAAGTACGTCCCAAATATTAATTTTTCATAATTAGTTAATACCAAAATTGATGAAGTAGTAGCTACTGTCCAGAGTCTAACCATGGTCTACTTGTTATAATTTTTTTAAATAGAACAACTTTAACGATCAATAAAACAATGTTATGACTACTAACCAGCAAGCCTTCTTTCATTGCTAATTGCTTTGCAGTTTCAATAGCTTCTTCACTGGATACCTGAGAAAGATAAAATTTCAGAATACAAGAAAGGCTCAAGCACTGAACTTCTTCAAAAGGCAAAGAGACCCTTGCAGAAGAAATATTATCGTATATATACATAACATACAACCACAGATATTATCTGGTTGAAGTTTTATTCTTAAAGGAATATAAACCACGCCTTGTTGATGGATGTCATGACCAAGAATAGTTTATTTAAGTATTTGCACCCCAAGCTTGAAAGAAATGGAAGACAGAAAAATCACAAATGAAAATTACAACTGTAGCTCAATAACCCCAATCATAACTCAGAACCAATTATATCAGCTCCTGCTAATAAATGGTTGAAAACGGGTAGTATTTCTATGTTGCTCAAACTTGGGTATGTGTCCAAGTGTTGGATCGTCTATTTTGTGAAACTGTCCAATAACTTTGGCCCAAAATGAAGGGTCAAAGTGACCTGTCCATGTCCGAGTGTCGTTGGTCTGACACATGTACTTGAGGTAAAATGAATGGTTACAAGAAACATTGGATTCACTGATGAAAAACTCAAGTGAAAATCTTAATAATTTTAACACATTGGTTTCACTGATGAAAAACTCAGGTAAAAGTCAAAAAAATTTGATCTCCGTAAACAAAACAAAAATCTGCAAGAGCCTACAAACTGCATATGGTTTGTAGATGAACTTATTGCTATAATTTGAATGGTTTCAGGTAGTTCATCAAAGTGCATGGAAACATTTTAGTACAACCTACATAACCCTATATCTTCTGATAATTAATAATCATGGAGTGGCATTTTCTCACCAAGGATTGCAATTTATACCCAAATATTGACAATGGTTCATATCTTAAGGAGCATATGTGATGTGATATCCCTAAGCAATCTTCATTAAAGGTGGAAAGGCATTGTTTATAAGTTACTGTATTATTTACTTTTAAAATACAATCAAACAAGCTTTAAATCTGAAATACTAACATTGGTCCATATTAAATCGATCTATGCAATAAGCAGCGCTCTGCGAGCAAATTATAAGATGTCATAAGCAAGCAATGAAGCAAAAGAATATTCACCTCTATAACTTCATCCATCACACCCAAATCCAAATTGCTGGGAACAAAACCAGCTCCAAGTCCTTGAATCTTGTGTGGACCTTCACCCAACAAGATGAAGTTCAATTATACATATGAAGCCTGGAAACTTTTAACTATGAAGACACAGAAAACTTCATCTTACCAGGCTTGCCACCTGAAAGTATGTTGCTTTCTGTAGGTTCTATACCAATGACCTAGAAAATTAAATAAGAATGTGTCAACAATATAGAACAACATACATCTGGGATATACATCTGGGAATAAGGCTGTTACGTGTTGAGCAATGAGCAACTTGTCCACATAATATACAGGATCAAAAGGAATTCTCGACAGGAGAATATCTGCTAATAGTGTGCTGCAAGGATGCCTATACCTGGACACCAGGGTTGCGTTCTTTGAGGTACCGCCCAACTCCAGAAATTGTCCCTCCAGTTCCAATGCCTGCAACAAAAATGTCCACTTTGCCTTTAGTGTCTTCCCAGATCTCGGGACCTGTTGTCTCATAATGTATCTGCAGAAAACATGGGAAAAGAAACGTTCACACTATATACTTCCTCTATTCTTTTTACTTGCAACACTTTGACTTATGCACTATTCACATACTTATTTTGGCTAGCTTTGATGATTTATAATTAATGAAACTTAATGTAAGATCTTGTTAGATTGCCTCAATCTATACTCATAACATTGAATTTTCATAATTTTTAGTCATGGATAATCAGATATATTAGTGATTGAAATTATGCATTGGTAAGATGTACGCATGAAATGAGAAGTATTGCAATTAAGAAACAAACAGAGAAAATATGTTTAAATCCATGTCATGTGATAGACAAAGTGATGAACTGTTCATTTTGAAGATACTGCAAGGAATTGGGGAATAAGTTAGAGTTTGTTATGAGAGTTCTTTTATAAATAGGCCTCATTAGGAGGAATAATGATCATGTTGAATATTGTGAGGATTCTTATTGGGAGAGAGTGAGCCTCTCGAAAGCTCATGTTAGGAGAGAATCCACCTCTCAAAAGTGGAATTATCGATCAATTAGTTGTAATTCTCATCTTAATACTATAATCAGTCTTTTTCTTCCTAATTTTCTGTCATTATTACTGCTGGAAACCATGCTAATGCCTAGCAGATACATTATATACATGTCATGTGATATACTCAGGGAAGTTTACAGATTTATAGGAAGCAGATTCCTCCCTTTGCATCGTGTCAAATCTAGCGTCAAATAGTATAACTTGAGTAACAGATATTTGGGTTTAAGTAGGAGTCCAAAATTAGGTGTCAAACAAAGCAGAAAAACCAAAAAGGAGAAGAGAATAAAAAAGAAGGAAATGTACTGATTGAAGGCCAAGGTAGAAGCAAAGGGCTTTCATATTAATAACAACTAAACATCGATATGCAATGGCACCCTTTCAGATGATGGTGAACAAAATCAGAATGAGTCATACCTTGGGATTTGCAGGATTGTCAAACTGCTGAAGCATGTAGGAGTCAGGAGTATTCTTCAAAATCTCTTCAGCCTTCTCAACTGCACCCTTCATACCCTTAGCTGGATCAGTCAAGACCAACTCAGCTCCGAATGCCTTCAAGATAACTCTCCTTTCCATACTCATGGATGATGGCATTGTCAAGATAATCTTGTATCCTCTTGCAGCAGCTATAAATGCAAGTCCTATTCCAGTATTCCCACTTGTAGGCTCCACCAGAGTAGTCTGGATGGTAAGAAAACAATATACCATCAGTCATATACATAAAACACCCAACAAAATAGACAAGCATTTGTTAGTGCATGATATACCACATGATATTTATTGATTGAGTAGTTAAAGCTCTAATTGCTCCCATAGTGTTTCTACCCTCATGATATAAACAAAAACAATTGATTGTGAATGTAATCAAAATTTCAAACTACTAATGGTTCACGAATGATATATAAGCAATTCAAGGTGCAGTTTCAGGATACAGAAGTGTGCACAGGCAATGGCTACTAAAATTATACTCATTCTATTAGCTTAAGGATATAAATGACATGCCTATCTGCCATGGCATTGACAAGTAGGCCATAACTATTTAATCCCCCAAGATTGAAAAGACAATTTACACAATGAAATACCAAATCCTCATGCACACTTTTCAAACACACTTAAAATTATATGTTACAAATTTAGAGAGGGATTCAAATACATGCAACCTCTAAATTCAGGAAGATGAACTAAAGATGCTGAAGACAAAATGGTAGCCAAACCCAACACCAATATATACCAGGTTATTCAATTGATGAATTGAAAGAAGCATGGTAGTTGTCATATAAGAAAGTATAATATGGAGAGGCATAAGACAATTTACTTCAATTAACTAGCTATCATATAAGAAAGTATAATATGGAGAGGCATAAGACAATTTACTTCAGTGATAAGGGAAAATTGCAGATTTTTATACTCCACTCATTTGGCCCATTAAATATACAAGTGAGATACAAAGATTCTAACATTTCTGTCGCTTGAATTATAATAGAATGAAGGTGTTGCACATACACATCATCCAAATGGAAACTTGCATGGACTTAAAAAGCAGAAACTTTATGCCTAAATGGCAGACTTTGAACTAATAACTGGAAAAGCCAAGTTACTAATGTACTTCTCGTTTAAATCAGCGAGTGTGACAGGAAGGCAACTAGGCAACAAAAAGGGGGATAGATAAAATTGATAATGGGTCTCTTAAAATTTAACTTAGTGTCTAGACAAAGCAAGAACCTAATGTTCAACAAGAATACATCATTCTTCAAGCATATAGATGTCCAGGAACTCCAAGTAATGTCTAGCCTTAAAAGCAATACCTTTCCAGCTGTGATAACTCCTTTCTGCTCAGCATCATCAATCATACTGTAACCAATCCTGATGTGGGCAGAAAAAGAAAGAATAAGAACATTGCAGAAAAAGAAAGAATAAGAACATTGCAGAAAAAGAAAGTTTAGTCGCTATGTTCCCAATGTACAAACTCATAAAATCAGCCTTCTCTTGACATATAACTGTTCAACTACACTATAAAGAATTGACAATATGTTGCATGCTGAAAAGGATTTATGGAAAACCAAAAGACTATATTCTTTTAGAAATTTTATCCACCTTTAGCAAAGTAATGTACAAATTTTATTTGGGGGAAAAAACCTGCAAAGATTATGTCTCCTGTTAAACCATATAAACCCTCTTGAACTCATTTCACAAATACAAGATGTGCCATGGATCTTCTTTACCTGTCCTTCACACTGCAGCAGGGTTCCATGCTCTCAAGCTTAGCAGCAATGTTTGCAACTGATCCATTTGATACATTGTTGAGATACACCATTGGAGTTTTTCCAATTAGCTACCACATAATTAAGAAAAATAATATTACTTTAAGCTTCAACAGATGAGTTCTAACGAAAAAAATAAAAGGAAAAAAAAAAACAAGATTTTTCTTTGATGCTGCAGAGATAAAGGGAATGCTTATCAGTTCACCAAGAAAAAACACATAACTTACCAGTGTAGCGTACCTAATATGAATATCTGATACTTCAAATAAAACATTTTGAGGGAATTTTTGGTGACGTTTGCTACTAAACGCTAGACTTCAAATAAAAAATGTCTTAGACATGAATGTATTGGTTGAAAGTCCGTCTAAAAGCTCATGACAAGAGTAAGAAAAGAATCCAAATGTTTACAAGATGTTTGAGGTAACATAGATTTGCCAACAATTAGTATTACGTCATAACAAAATAGTTATAGGTAGAATTGGTGAAAAGGTTATAATGAATTAATGAGAGCTGATAGACATGTGTAAAGTTGTTATGTCATAACAAGATGTTTGAGGTAGAGCATGCTGTTGACTTTTTATGAGCAGCAATTCTCAGGCTGCCACTAGCCTGTCCGATGGGCTAATGCAAAGATGATTGACGGGAAGAATGATGAAATGGATATTCAAAATAAGATTATGACTATGAGTATCTGATAGATGTGCATTACTATGAAGCTATATGAAGAGTTTTTCTTGTCACAATAGCCATTTTTAATTTACCTCCATCGAGGAAGGAGCGAGTAATATTCTTATCTTAAACAAACAGATTCAACTCGAGTTTTTACTGATTCAGAATCTGTGTAAATACCACCAAAACTTCACAGAAACGAAAAAATTCCCAGCATTTCTTTATTTCATTACAACATTCCTGGTAATTTAGAGCTTCTGAAATTCATTCATTATTTCAAATCAACCCTAGTAAATTTGGTAAGTTGACAAGACAATGACCTGGTAACTTCAGAAATTTCTTACAGAATTCTTCAATTTATCAAAACACAATCATTATCTGCCATTATAACAGTCTACAAATCCTTAAACTATCCAAATCTTCAAGAAATCCCAAAACCCCAACCACAAATTCGCAAATAAAATCAAAAACCCAACTCAAAACAGCAATCAGAAATCAAAAAACAAAGAAACCCACTTCAAAATTTCAATCAAAAACCACAATAAATGTATAGAAAAACAAAAACCCAATTGAAAATGAAAACCAGAGATTCACCTGAGAAACATCTTCAGCAATGTTAAGGCCTTCATTGGTGGATTGAGGCGCAACAGAAACAGCTTTACAGGTGATTGAAGAAGAAGAAACCTTCCTGAAATTCTTGCAACTGAGCGATGATGGAAGACCAACTCGGAAATTGGTGAGGCTGTTAACATCTCGAAGCTCCAATTTGGAAGTGCTAAGCGCAGCGTAAGCGTTGTTGACCAAAGAAGCCATTGTTGATTTCTCTCTCTTGTTTCTCTTTCTATTGTCTAATCTCGATTGTGTTCCACTCTTTGGAAATGGTGGTTGTCCTTCGAATATATGCCTCGCTTTCAGTCTATATTTACTGTCGTCGCAAATTACATAATCTGTAGACCGCGATGTGGTCCTAATCTTGTAAAGTTAGTGGCGTGAGTTGGGCATGGATCAGGTCGGACTAACGCATAGACTATTTACTTATTTAGGCATTAGGCCTAGTAAAAAATTGAGCTAAACAAACACGACATGTTATAATAAGCTTGGTGGTGGCATTGAAATTTGGCATGAGTATGAAGGGTCGGGTAATGTGTTCATTCACTCGGATGCTTCATATTCATCTGATTTTTATGTGAACTTATTATACGTAGTATTAGTTAATATTTTTTTTTTAAAAAAAAATACGTAGTACTTCGTATTAGTTATTATAATTATAATTTAATTTGTAGTAGTATTGAGGTAAAAGGATCTCCACCTCCAAGTACACTCATCAACCGAGGTAAGACTCTTACTAATTGAGTCAAGTTTTTCTTGGTCCCTCGTCCTAATATAGTTTGATAAATTTTCGTATTAAAATACTTTGTACTCCTTATACTATTGACTCCTTTTTTTTTTTTTATTTACATCAGTTTGACTAGCACATTTGCCGAGACTCAACTTTGATCATTAATATATTTAATTGATAATTAGTAAAATATTATAACAAAAGTATATTATGAAACTAGACATTATGACGAACCTAACGATAACATTTATTTATTTTATAGACGTGAAAAAAATTAAGTCAACCATGATATGTGAATAATGCAAAAATCAAAGTGATGCATTTACAATTAAAAAACGGAGGGAGTATTTCAAATCACCTATTTCTACATTGGGTAATTGGGTCTCATACTTATTTACGAGGAAGCCCCAATTTATCATGAATAGGGTGAGAAGGTAGTTAGTGGGCCCCACATAGCATCACACTTCAGTTTAGAGTCAGATGGAAAGTTTCCATGTTTTAAAACATAGTAGGTGGTAAAGTTCAAAAAAAAAAAAAAAAGAAGAAGATGTTATAAAATATAAAATATAGAGAAATATAAGAGAAATTGATAGAGAATATATCAGTGTATTTCTATTCCATATAATGGGGTATATATAAATACAATATATTAGGGTTTGAATGGATAAGAATATAAACCCTAGATCTAGATTGTTCCGGAATGATACAAATGATGATAATGGATATCCACAAATATTTCATAACACTCCCCCTTGGATGTCCATTATCGAAGATTGTGCCTCATTAAAACCTTACTACGAAAAACCCTGTGGGATAAAAACTTAGTGAAGGAAAAAGAGTACATCATTCTTCGTAATACGCTCGAGATGCTGCCTCATTAAAAACCTTACCAGGAAAACCCAATTTGGGACAAAACCATGGTCAAGGGAAAAAGAGTGCAGCGCGTATTTTCTCCCCCTGATGAATACATAACTTGAGATCTTCTAGTGTCGCAACAATGAATCCAATATAGTTGAGTATTTTCTCACATGGCGCAGAAAAGTATCATTCTTTGATCTTTGATCCTCCTAAATCTTCACATCTTCACACGAGCAAGTGAGTCTTCATATCACCATACTTATGATAATAAGACATGTGTTTGTCCACATTTCATTTGAAATCTTTGTTTAAATTTGCCTTATCCATTATACTTTATGCCTTCTTCTAGAGGCCATGAATAATAGAAATTGATGATCATTATTTAATCAAACATTTCTTAATAATTACTACGTATATGGCAACACATGCTAATATTAATGTTGTTCTTCAATCTTGTATGAATTAATAATATAACACATGTAATTATGTACGCTAATCATGGTTCTTCTAGACCATGAAAAAACATTCTCGCGCATAAGTATTCCATTGATATTATTTAGATGTTTCATGATTGACATGATAGCTCTCTTGTAAATACAAATAGTAAATCTTACTAACTCTCATATGCTCAAACTTCAGGTTGAGATGTCAATAATGTAGTCACATAGACTTTTCAAGAGTTTGATAATAATTGTAATATTCAAGACATAAAAATTTGTAGGGTTGGGCATTTAATACGCCGTATATAAGTTCTTCAGGAACTTCTTTTACATGATTCATAACCTGTTATTAAGTAAGTGTCATCAATTTTTCATTACAATTATAAGCCCATTGGAATATAAATATCTCTTTCTAATTTTTCATCAAAGTTGTAAATATGTCTTACTATACTTTGAATGAACATTCACATACACCACACCATTGTAAGAAATTAATCCATGCAATATGAGATATATAAAACATGATAACATATAAACAAATTATACAATGAGTAATGCATCTAACTTCCTACATATGCAATAAACAATTAACCTATTACTCACATGCACATGAATATAAGACTCAAAATGATGCAAGACAATGTACAGTGTGGATTTAAAAATCCATATTTCATTGGACTTCGGGTCCATGATAAACTTATGATCATTATCATTATGTCGACATCAAAATGTACATATATTTCAGATCCCTTACTTATTAGTCCATTCCATTATGCATATGCATATTATTCATCGGTTCCATTATGTAACGATATCATAAAATTCCTGTAACTTACATTCCGCATGCTATTTTACTATGATATCTGAATACAATCTCATTGGTACCATCATAACTTTTCTTACATCATAGACCATCTATTATAATAATTCAGATATCTATACCAATTTAAGGTTATTTCATACACTATGGTATTTATATACTATTACACTATTAGTGTCAACTGCACTATCTTGTCAAATATCATATCTATTAAACATATCTTTATTTTGGAACCGATCATATACAACCTACACTTCAGGTGTAGTGATTCAAGTACAATTGGCAAGATTTTATCTCAATGTATACACATAATTAATATGACCAAAATGTATCTTCAACACTATGAAACATGAGTCATAACTGAATACAAATCAAATCATAAATGTGCAACATATCTTGATAATATATATACAAAAGTTGGCATATATATAACTTTTCAAACTACCATTATAGGGAACATAAATATTCTTTATTTATTTGATTTTTTTTTTTCGATTTTCCCAACTTTTGCTATTTCTTCTCCCCCTAAGTTGGTAAAATATCTCTTTTATACCAACTTAGTATATAAATTTGCATCAAAATTCATTTCATTGGGAGGATCACAATCAAAATTTATCTCTTCCGGAGAACAATTTCGATGAAGAATCATTTATTCATTAACTTTATATTTCAAGTGTATTTATTATTAAATTTTCAATAATATTTTCTCTTCTGGGGATCAATGTCAATGGGGAGACATATGTTGTGCAGTTGTACGTTTTTCTTTCTTCTCCTATTTCATATGTGCTAACATATAATAGCCCCAATCAAAAGAATTGTTATACAAGCGTAAATCACTTGCTCGTAATTCTAGTAGGTGATGATCTTCTGGATCTTTAAAGACTTAAATAGTGTATTTGGTGAGCTTCTGATCACTTGATAGTTGACAATAATATATAAGTTATTTTGGTGAACTTCTGGTCATCCATAACTCCTTTATCAGCCATTACTCCTTTATAAAAAAATCAAAATATATTAAATCTTGAAATTTTCATCAATACAAATTATAATAACTCACAATTCAAATATAACTCAATCTCAATGTTACGTCTTGCCATTCAATTCATTTTATATATTTAACATTGAGAAAGCGTCAGCACATTATCAAATGAAACTTCAGGTTTCCATTATGGGTAATTATTATTAAACCCAGATGGCCTAATTTAATTATCACATCCAATCACTTCTCTAAATTTGAACTCTGGTCAGTTTTCAACACTAGTGATCACTTTATTAAACTTACTATATGCATGGCCATGAATGTGATGTGATATTAGAACACCAACATGTGTTTCTTTATACAATTGGCAAGACAATCAATTAATATTTCATCCAATAATTACTCATACTCTACTAGAGTTTAAACTATAAACTTGATACATGTTAATCTTGTTGGATATTTTATACTCTTCTAGAGTCTTTTATATAATCATGAAACATATGAACTTCACTAAAAGTGATTTCTTCTAGAAATGTAATGATATTTACCACTTCCTCAAATTTGTCATTGTCAATAGTGACTCATTTCCTTTTCAAAGATACTTAATTATCTTTAGAACCTATTGATTTATCACGTTTCAGGCATGCTATAGGTTCATCAATAATTGATGTTGTACTCTTAGGACATCAATTTTAAATTAGAGCATTTACAACTAGTATATGATAATATATCCATCTTCAGGATGGTATCATTTCAAAATATTTAATTAACATGTGGCCACTTCTATTAAATAAATCGTTGGTATTTAAGTTATTGTATGTATCAAACTGACCATCAATATATTTTGTTATTTATATGCAAGGATTACATACAATCTTCCCCTAATCCTTGCATATAGGGGTATGGAATGAATCCATCTAACAACCTTTAAAATCCTTGCATCTTTTAAGCCATAAATTCTTTTGCCAATGTCATGTATCAAGTAACGTGTTCCTTTTAGCAAAAATATGCTTATATAAAATTATTTTTATAGAACACTTATCATGTTCCTCATGCCCAATTACATTCATCTTAAAAAAAACAAAACCTCTTATATTTATGGGCATAATAAAACGTTGATTATGTATGGTTTCTCACAATATCATGTTTAATTACTTGACTCATAACACACTTTTTGCTATATATTTAATTAATTAAGGAACTTCAAGTCCATACATCATTTTCAATTTAATTTCATTCCAATAATCCAATTTTCAAGTAGGCACATAATACAATAATTGAATCTAATCACACATCAATCAACATAATATATATACATAGTATGATTCATAATATTATCAACTTATAAGGATATTAGTATATGATCATGATACCAAGTTAATATTATCAACATAATATAAATTTTGAGACGAATATGCATGCCATTATAGAGAATTAACCTGTAAGTTAATAGTAGTACACTACTTTATTGTCTTACCTATATCATAGGAAGTTATCGATATCCATGATATAGTCATTATCGTTAGCTCATCACAATACAGACTATAGTTTAAATTCACTATTTAAATAAAAACTAGCATGATTTGTGATAAACAATAACTATTCATGTAATCATTAAAATATAACATCATGCTTTTATACGTAAATTCACTAATTGTACAACTAATATCATCACAATCACCAGAAAATTGAATTAGTCATTAAAAAATTAGTATACAAACTTTAATTAAATTTATCCTCTTCAAGTAGCTAAATATGCAGTATATTTCTGCAATATATGTACCTCATACCAAGAAAAATGAAAAACTAAGATTGTATATAATATGCTTCAAATTGCTAGCAATCATTAAATATAAATCAAACAATAGTTCATTTCGATGACATCAAGGGCCTCAAATTCAAGTTTCGTCAGGTTCGACATAAATTGCTATAAAAGAGAATATTATAAATTCTAGTAAGATAATAAAATTATAGTCATACAGAATCATAACATAACATCCATAATAATTAATTTAATAATGAATTCAAAAAAGATAAGTATCTTTGTTAATATAATTGTTGGAATTCGGAGGGCAGAGCAAAGTATAATATAGTAGAAGAAGGATAATGCTTCGTGTTTAATTAAGTTAACCTCGATGCCTTATACAGGCCAATATCACAAAACAAACAAAGCTAAAATTAGGCCAACTAAAAGCTTAATAATAGGAGCATGACTCCACTAACAAAGAAAAGAAAAATGCCTAAAAGAAATAAATCCACTAACATTTATCTTATTGTTGACTCATACTAGAACCTCGCAAATAATTCAGAAACTTAAGGAACTAATTAGTTCACTAACCAACGCCTATTGAAGCATATTACTCAATAATAATGTATGTTATTCATATCCTAAAAAAAATAAACTTGGCACATACTCTATAGCAGTGATTAGGGATTGATATTTAGATCAACAAATTCTATAGCAGTATTGACGGAATGGGTTCTAAACATAAATATCAAATAATAGAAAACATAATAAATTCACAAAGAATAAGTCACAAAATAGAGATTATAATATAATAATATTCATTAATGGATGTAATTCAAACATCCAATTTATTTAATTCTGGGAAACTCAACCAAGTGTAAACAAATTAGCGCTTGCCAAAACATGATAATCATGTAAATAATTTCAGTATGGCCAAAGAAAAACAAAACAGATGCAAAAGGTTGATATAGAGTATAAATAGAAGTAGAACAAAAACTAAATGAAAGACTTTGAAATAACCCATATAAAGAACCTAATGGTATGAAGTATGGTAGAAAAATCACATGCATGATCACAAGCATATATATTCTGTATTATTGATTGATATGGTAAACTTCAATTTCACGAAAATACATTCACAAAAATAAATAAATAAATTAATTAATCAACCGATCCCACGCACACAATTAACAAGTCAAGCCATAATATATAATCACCTAATGATGAAACACCTTGACCCAAAACAATCATATATGATTTATAATATATTACGTGATCGTTGCTTATATTTCATTAGAAAAATTAAAATAAACACTAACCTTAATGATGCTAATTTATTTGCTCAATCAGGTAGGGCTGGTGCTAATAACGTGTTATAAAATAGAGAGAAATATAAGAGAGATTGATAGAGAATTTATCAGTGTATTTCTATTCCATATAATGGGGTATATATAAATACAATATATTAGGGTTTGAATGGATAAGAATATAAACCCTAGATCTAGATTGTTCCGGAATGATACAAAGGATGATAATGGATATCCACAAATATTTCATAACAGAAGAAGAAGAAGTAGGTGGTAATTGCTAAAACAACAACAATTGTACGTGGTAATTTTTTTTTTTTAAAAAAAAATTCTCTTTATTTACAAAATTTTCATGTTATATTTTAACCCATAGTTTTTTAAAATTATTGATAATTAAAATATAAAGATTAAGAGAGCTGACAAATGACATATAAGTGATTTGTAGTGACATTTGGCATATGAGTGATTTGTGGTTAGTGTTTTTAAACACCAACTAGTTTTTGGCCTGGGCAATGCCCCAAGTCATTATATGTATATTATAAATGAGGTTTTATAATAAAAATTATGTGATAAAATACAAAAAAAAAAAAAAAAATATCATCCAACCAATAAAGGATATCATATAACTAATAAAGAATATCATCCAGCTAGTAGAGGATATCATCTAGCCAATAAGGATATCCGCCAATGAGCATATCAAAAATTCACATTTGATTAGTTGAGACTAACGCAATACCTACTCTCTATCAAATTGTCACTTAAGGTTAGTTTTCTTTACCAAATTATTGTCAAATTAAGTTTTTTTTTTACCAAATTGTCGCCAAAGTAAGTTTTTTTTACCAAATTGACACTAGGTGTCTTTTTTATTTACCAATCTTGCTAATTGGCCCTATTTTTGTACATAAAAATCTCGAGGATTTTATTTATTTGTACCAAATGAACGTGGCCACATAGTAGGTGGATTTCTTGTTCTTGAAGTTGACTCCTTGCCCTCGTTATGTAAAGTCCAATGAAATCCTAAGTGGATGATAGGTAGTAACAAACTAACAAATCAGTAGTTTTTTTTTTTTTTTTTTTTTCTTTTTTTTTTTTTGGGGGGGGGGGGTTTCTTTTCCAAACTAGCCAACTCATTTTAATAGTAAGATACTATGTATATATGAATTTGTTAAAACTCTTACCGTTAAAAGAGAAATTCATCGTTAAAAGAAAGTAGATGCACTAGTGTTTTTGTATGATTATTGGTTTCTTTGCTTCATGTAAATACGTGAAGTCGTGATATTATAGTCTATGATATTCCACATTAATTTTGTATTATTTAGACAAATTTAATACTCGATCATGTGAATTTCATTTTGGTTTTATTTCAACAGGGGCATCACTGCTACTTTTTCTATCTCAATTAGATGATCCTATATGAAATTTATATAAACTTCAATACAAATAAAATATAATATTCTATGTAAAATGTATAAGAAAAAACTTGTTCATGTAGATTGTTGTTTGATGATGACAAATTAACCATTTTGATATTTAGTTTCACAATATCAATTTGATTGGACAGAAGGAAGTTGGAAGTATTATAATGAATCAAATAAAATTCTTTGGAAAATCCACTAATTCAGTATTGTCCAAACATTATTCCTAGGCCTGATCACGGATCGGATATCCGATCCGAAAGGGGATTTCGGATCAGATATCCGTATCCGAGAATACGTATATTTGCTATTTGTATCCGATCCGAAAAGTTCGGATATCCGAAAATTCGGATCGGATATATCGGATATCCTATATCTGACTACTTTGATTACGAGTAGTTTTAAATGGAAAAATTGATATTTTTTTTTTACCCATTTTCTCCTCATGTTACTCACAACCTGAACAAAGAGAGAGAAAATAGATGTATAATTATCCTATTAAAAATAATTATCCTATTAAAAAAATGGACTTGTAAATACTGTCCACGGCTAATTTAGTCATTTCCAGAAAAAAAAAAAAATAAATAAATAATGAAATAACAAAATACAAATAACCTGCCATGGCTGCCAATTTGCCAAAATGCAAACTAATTGGATAAGTGCTACAAAAGTACAAATTATATGACAAAGAAAATTTAAAGTCCAAATACATTAATTTCCAAATAGTTAACAATACGTCAATAGTCAATACATGCATTTTATCTTATACTAAAAAATAAGTCATCAACATCGGAAACCGATAGCGGATCAACAAAGTATGAGCATACGGCAAGTCAACAACTCTACAAAATATGAGATCAAAATATTAGATAATCATAAGATAAATAAAAACAAAAAAGATGCAGAAATTAAACTATAATTTTTTTAAAATTCAAACTAAAAAAGTATTACCTTCTAATACTAAAAGTAATCATCAATGACGGAAACCGAAGGCGGATCAACAAGAGACGACAACTCTACAAAAAACACGATGAAAATACATTGTTAAGCAAAAGACAAATCAAAACAAATGCTAAAATAGGAGATTAAACTGATCAGAACATAATACAGATTACAGAACATAAACTGAATTTGAAAAGCAAGAAGCATTTGGGATTTGCTCACATTAGGGGGGTATTCTTTACACCTTTCTAAATGATTTTTCATAGCACTTGTACCCTTTTTAGAGTCACCAGTAACATCAACAGAACAATACACACATTTTGATCTTTTATCCCCATCTTTTACTATTAACTCAAATTGATCCCAAAGCCAAGATCTTTTCTTTTTACCTTTTTTTTTCAGCTCCATCAGCATCACTAGTAGTGGTTGAAGGCCTTTTTTTTGGTGGCTGTGGTGGTTTTTCAATTCCAGCATGCTCCTCATTGGCAGCAGTTGACGCCAAGGGCTCCTCTTCAGTTGGTTGATTTGCTACGTTAGCAGATTCTACAGTAGCATCATCCATCTAAAACACATAAATCAAAATGTTAACTAGTTGACAAAATAAAACTGAATTTACTTATTTTTTCTCAATCACAAGTTCTTTCACAGACTAATTTAAATCACTAAATCAGCAATTCAGCAGAAGTACGAGCATAGGATGACCTTGGTGGAGGAGTGAGGGGCGCCGCTTCTGGTGAAGGAGTGAGGGGCGTCGTCGCTTCTGGTGAAGGAGTGAGGGGCGCCGCTGCTTCTGGTGGCCTGGATGAGTGAGGCGCCGCTGCTTCTGGTGGATGAGTGAGGCACTGAGAAGGAGTAGAGAGGAGACTAAGAGAGATCAAGAAAGAACTCAGACAAGACTAAGAGAGGAGTGAGAAACTGAGAAGACTAACTGATAGGGAGAAAAGAAAGAGGAAAGAGGTGGATTTGAAATTAGGGTAAGTTGAGATTTTGTTGGGCTTGGGCTGTTGGGCATATGGATAATATTTGAACTTTAAATCTGGGTAAAAAAAAGTAATTTTCGGATATCGGATCGGATATCCGATCCGAAATCCGACTTTGTTTTCGGATCGGTTACCCTAAATTGTCGGATCGGGTGCAGATCGGATCTTCGGATTATCGGATAATCAGATAGTTTTGCTCAAGCCTAATTATTCCAGCATTTGCATGCCCTATTCAAATGGGAACAACTATGTACTATAATTTAGATTTTAGAAAAGCTACTTAACTTTTTTGAGGAAAGCTACTTAACGTAAAGTATAACAACAGGCTAACAGCTTAGCAATGTTTGTCAACATTCAAGTTAAAAAAATCCAAATATTAGTATGCATGGTTTCAAAAAAAAAAAAAAAGTTTTAAAAAATCCACATATTAGAAGCACTTGTTCGTTCTAAAGTTTAGGGTTCACTTCACATAATAACATAATAATGTTGTAAAAATAAGAGATCTTGTTATATATACTGCACCCGGATGTAAAAAAATATAAACTTTTTAAAAAATTGGATGTACAATAAAATATTGCACATCCGTTATAAAGTTATCCTGAAATGAGCAAAAGTTACCCCCAATATACATAAAAGTAACCCTTTACAAATAAAAATTATCTACCTTTATTAGTAAAAAATCACATTTTAAATGACTAAAAATTAATCATTTGTGATTGAATGTAATTAAATTGCTTTTATAAAACTTTTTTTGTTGTCTATTTATATAAAAATTTTATTAGGTTTAAAGTTACCCAAAAATAGACAAAAAGCTACCCTGAAATTAGCTAAAAGTTACCCTTATACTAATCGATTTACACTAATATTAGGCCATGTTCTATTCACCTTAAAAAAATAATATTAAGTAAAAATAAGTTCAGTTCAGTAAAAATAAGTTCAGTTCAGTAAAATTAATTTCAGTTCAGTAAAAATAATTTCAGTTCAGTAAAAATAAGTTCAGTTCAGTAAAATTCAGTTTTCTTAAAGAAGAATTATAATAGAAAATCAGTAAAACTAATTTCAGTTCAGTAAAAATAGTTTAAGTTCAGTAAAAATAATTTCAGTTCAGCAAAATTAAGGTGAATCAAACAAGACCTTAGTGTAAAACGGGTGTATACAAAAGTTTTTCGTAAAAAAATGGCAATAATTGTCAATAGTTATCTCAATATTGTTTGTTAGATTTTATTTTCTCAAACGGTTTTTATGTCTTTACAATTAAGGGAAGGTGTTTCGGGGTTTTCTGATGTCCTGCGGGAGAGTTACAACACCGAGACTGGAACCGGACGCCTGTACCTGCAAAACAACGAAGACTCCTTGTGGTAGGAGCTCCGCCTCCGACGATCAAGTTAGTACCTGATTAAGGAGTAATAAATGCGGAAATAAATGTGATTAGGTCTCTCTAGGTGAGAGTGTTTAATGTGAGTAATCTCTGTTATTCGAGTTCTCTTTCGTGTGTTCCCCCTCTTAATGAGGATTAAGAGAGGTATTTATAACCTCGGGAAGCGTGCCAGTCTTAGGTTTAGGGTAAACCTTGGGCTGACTGGGCCTCATAACAGGATTGGGCCTTGGTGGCCGGGTTTTCCCATTTGGCATGGGTGAACACGTGGCGTGTCTCAATTGGTCCGTTGAGGACATATCTGTGACTGACACGTGGCAGGCTCCTATTGGCCCACATGGAGGACACATGGAGAAACCTGGTTGGTCCACTTGTCAGACGGCGATTGGTGGATAAAAATCCCCTAATCATTTGCCCCTCACAGGTGGCACGTGACTGGTCACATGTCACCTGTGACAGGTGTCGCATGGTGACGGGCGACGGCCTGCTACAGGTGTCACCTTGCAGATGGCCGAGAGATTTTTCCCGCCCAAATTTTGAATTTAGAAGCGACCCTTCGCCTTCTCACTTTGCCTATATAAGGAAGTGTTGACTTCAGTCATTTTCACATTTGAGAACTTTGCGAGAACATTCGGACCCCTGAACTTGCTCTGACAATTTGGACTCTTGTTGCCTACCGCCTGCTCTGACAAGCCGTTTGCAAAGGATTTCAGAATTTCTTCAACCAACACTCGTTCAGGTAACCGTCGGTTCTCTTACTCTTAACTTTTTCCTTATTTATTATTTTCTTTTTGAAATGGAACCCTGGAAGCACACGACACGACCTAAGTTAGTGATCAGCCGGTCACCGGGGACGGCTGAATCTAGGACTAGGAGTGCCGCCTGTCCTTTTCCGGACCCATCTTCGCCATTTATACATAGTCCGACCGTATCTGTGTCTATGCAGAACGTGATGGCTAGAACAAAGCAAACTGCAAGGATCTCAAATTCGGACGGCTCCTCACAAAGGGTGCCCATCAGCGAGACATCTGACCAGGCGCCAGATGTAGAAAGGATACAAAGCGGTTGCCAAGCCGAGAGTTCTGAGGGAGGGGCCAAGGTGGTCCCTTCCCATTTTACCGTTGATACGCTCAACTTTTCTTCTCCTCCTTCTAAGGGAGAGGAGGCGGGCCCCTCTGGGAGAGGGGAGGAGTCGTCCTCCTCGGACTCGTCAGAGGACGAGTCTGACTCCAGTTCTTCTGGCCACGTTTCTCCAGGCTCAGAAGAGAGAAACAGCCGCCTACAAGAGGCAAGACTTTCTCATGCGGCTGAGAAGGGGAGCGACTGGGCCGAGCCGTCTGCTTCTTACAGAGAGGAGAACACCCCTTACTACAGCATGGTACCCCGGGGCCGGATCACACTGATGAAAGACAAAGTGGAGAGTTTTATAGCTAACCACAGAATGGGCCCTGGGTTTTTATTGTTCGTGCCGGATCCAGAAGATATTGTCGTCTGGCCGGCTGGTACCAGCTACGATGACGGCTGCTTTGGCTGCTATGTGGCGGCCATCAAAGCTGGACTGCGCTTCCCATTACATCCGGCTGTTCAGCGGATCTTGGATGGGTACGATCTGGGGTTATGGCAGTTAGCCCCCAACTCTTGGGTAAACGTACTCGGCTATGTGGCCGGGTGCGAAATGTACGGGGTGGAGCCAAGCTTTGAGGCTTTCGCCCACATGAATTACCTCAGCCGGACCCCAAAGTCAGGCGGTACCGGCTGGTATCAAATAACAAGCCACAGGGGTTACCTCATGACGAGAGGTAAGGCGAACAAATGGAAGGATTGGCGGAACACCTTCCTGATCATCAAGAGTTCAGACAAGGAGCTGAACAAACGATTCAATAAGTGGAACAGGGATCCGCCTCTTCTTGCAGGCGGCCGTAGTATGCCGCCTGTTCCCCCAAAGGCTAAAGAAGAGATCCTGGACAAAGGACTCTTCAAGGTAGAGACTAGGGTGAACTCTACCTCAGGGGTACGAGAGCAAGTACCCCTAAACTGCGTCCCAAGCTTCAAATGGCTCTATGATGAGTACTTTTTGGCCGCCTGTGGCCTTAGCAGTCGGTGCTCTAGAGGTAGCCGGCCTGACGAATACTCTGCTTTTTACACATTGCTTAGGATCTTTACTAACTTTGCTGTTTATTTTTTGCAGCTGACGCCATGAGTAAGATTACAGCTTCTAAGACTGCAGCGGCCATGTTGCGGGCCTCCCTTATGCAACAAACCAGTACCGACTCCCCCAACAAGGGGGCACCCTTGGTGAGCTTTGAACCTTTCTCTTGTTGGAGTTGTAGTTGATACATATGCTAACTCTTTCTTTCTTCTTTTTTTTTTTTTAATAGTCGGGCACTCCAAGAGCTTCAACCTCGCAACAGCCGGACCCCAAGGCCCGGAGGACGACTGTTGCTAGCTCTCCTGGGTCTTCCAGGAAAACAGTGGCGGCTGAGAAGCAGCCGGCCACTTCTTCCAAAGCTCCGGCGGGGCCGCCTAGAGGTATGGACAATTTCCTTGTAAAAGCTCTAACCCTTGCTTCTTTCTTGACTAGGTCTAACTTGTTTATTTTACACTTGATGCAGCCGGCCCTCAGGAGCCAGACTTGGTAGAGGTTGCCAAGTCCATGATCAAAGCAGTTCCTCCATCTGAAAGGGAGGCGGTCAGGGGTGTCGGCACCCTTGACCTTGATGGAATTGCAGGAGTCCTTGCTGAGGTATACTTAACATTTTTTCTTTGAGTATTTATATTCCAGGACGCCTGTTGTCTTGTTGGAAACTGACGCCTGCTTTCTCTTCACTTAGGCCCTGCTCCGAGTGAACGGCTTGCGCAAGCCGCTTGATCGGAAAAACAAAGAGGTAAAGGCTGCCAAGGCTATGGCCGCCTCTAACTGTGATAAGGCAATGTTTCAAATTGCCCAAAATGAAACTCTGACAATTGATATTCTTTACTATCAGGCGCAGGCTGCCGCCGCCATCCGGGCCGAGTTAGAGGCGGCCCAGAAAAAGAACAGCGAACTGGAGGCGACCGTCTCCAATCTGAAGGCCGAGCTCAAACCTCTCCGCCAAAAGATGCTGTCTTACGAAGCCATGGAGAAGTCCTTGGCTAACGTAAAGGAACGCCTGGTGACCTAGGAGAAGAGTCTAACTGAGGAGCTCTCGGCCAAGGCTGAGCAAGAAAAAAGAGAGCTCGTCCGAGAGATGATGGAAGACTCTTCCCAGATCCAGCGCATGACATGGAGCCGCCTCTTCCCCAGTGCCGACTTTGCCTCGTGGGAAAAAACTTACCGCCAGTGCTCTGAAACTTATAATCAAGAAATCCTGGCGGCTGCTGAGGACGAGGCATTGGAGGAGGCCTTGGATGGGGATGAGCAACCGATAGTGGCGCTCGTGCCACTTGGGGACAAGGCATCGAAAAAGGATGCAGCTAAGGCCGAGTCTAGCAAGAGGAAGGCTGACCAGGCGGACGCTGCTAATGCTGAAGACTTGCCCCATTAAGCTTTTGTATTATTTTTCACGGCCTGCGTGCCGTTTACTTGAATTTACCCGGCCAGGGGGCCGGGGTCTTGAATATTTTTACCCTTATCAATGAAATCACTTTTTTCAATCAAATTTGTCTAAGTGTTGAATATTTGATATTGCCTTGTACACTATGTCGACTGTTTTGCATGGCCGTTTGTAGACAGGTA